TGAATGGATGGTGTACCTTTTGCTGTAGCAGCAGTACTGACAAGGGAGAAATCAATGCTATCAGAATCAGCGTCTGTAATGGTAGATAATACATCAATCAATTCAAATCCCTTAGACCAGTGAATTGTTGTAGTAGTTGTAACAGCAGAAGGATCGTTGTTTTGAACAGTGACAGTCCAAGATGTAGAACTAATTTCAATACCATCTGTAATATTAACAGTGTAGACCTTTGTTCCAGCAAATGAGCCAGTAGGTAAGAATGTGATTTGATTTCCATTAATGGTAATGAAATCCATTGGAGAAATTGAAGATAGTGAAAGAGTATCTTGAGAGTCGGCATCTTGAGCTGAAGTTAACAAGATGGCATCAACTGAATAACCAGAAGCAAATTTGGACCAATGACCTGTTGTTGAGGCAGCAGTGAGAGTTGGTTTGTTGTTGTAAATGTTCATATTGACAGTGTAAATGGCATTATCTGCACCATCAGTAACTTGTACCTTGAAAGTATCAGAACCAAGATAGTTAGTACTTTGCTTGTACAAAACGTTTGGAAGAGTATTGGAATCCCCATTAGACAATGTAACTGTACCGTGAGATGGAGCAACAGTTGGTGAGCTAGCCAAATCAATTTGATTCAAATCACCATCTCCATCACGAGCTGATGAGAATAATGTAATGGTAGTACCAGTAGTTTGAGTGGACCAGTGAACAGTTTTAGAAATTGTGCTTGCCGAAGGAGCATCAGCATTGGTAACTTCAATTGTCAAGCTTGCACCTGCACTTGTGGTTTGTCCATCAGAAGCAACATAGGTTACAACTTGAACACCCTTTGATTGAGCAGTTGGAACGAATTGAAGTTTGGTATTTGAATCAATCTTGGTAATAGTACCAGCAAATCCATTAGGAGGTGTAACTGTGCCAATAGTAATTGGATCATTGTTGGCATCGGTATCATTGGCCAAAACTGGAATGGTAATAGATGAGGTACTCCAATGCAATTTGACATAATCTCCCAAGGCGACTGGTGCTTGATTTGTAACTGTTACTTTAAGAGTAGCTACTGCAGTCATGGAATAATCAGTGACGGTATAGGTAATGGTTTCCTCACCGACAAATTGTTGAGAAGATGAGATGGAATATTTGATACCATCCTTTCCATTATCGAGAGTTACAATTGAAACAGTACCCTTACTTGGTTGAGTAGCACTGAGAATATAAAGATTATCACCCTCTGGATCAGAATCATTACTGAGCACATCAACAGTAACTGATGTATCACGCCAGTGAGTAGTAGCTTGATCATTGACTGGAACAGGAGCACTATTAAAAACAGTGACAGTAACAGTTGCAGCATTACTTTCTAAATCAGAATCGGTAATAGTATAAGTAAAAACAAAGCTTCCAACAAAACCAGGTGTTGGAGTGAACAAGATGCTCTTACCACCATTGAAAGAAGTAGCAACACCTCCACTCAAAGAAACAGCATTAATTGTCTTGACAGTGAGAACGCTTCTATCAGCAGGATTTTGATCATAATCATTGGCCAATACAGGAATAACAATGCTTGTATTCCACTTGACACTAATAGTATCATCATTAGCAACGGGAGCAGTATTGACAACATTTAAGGTGATAGTGGCAGATGCAGTAGCCCCATCAATATCCTTAATGGTATAAGTAATCTTATCTTGATAGACAACATCAAAAGCTTGATAATTCAACAAATTTCTTGGACTAGTAACATTGACACTGGAAACAACACCACTTGTAGATGTAAAGCTGGTAGCATTGAAATCAATGGCATCTCCGTTTGGATCACTGTCATTAATTAATACATCCAAAGAGGAAAGAACTCCTTTTGGAACGGTGATAGTATCATCAACAGCAACAGGAGGAGTATTGACAACTGTGACAATAACATAACCAGTAGAAGTCAATGCAGCAGTGCTGTCAGAATCAGTTACAACATATGAGGCAACATCTTCACCCAAGAAACCACTCTTGGCAACATATTTCAATTGAACATCATCAACTCTTGAGACTGTAGCACCTCCACGGCTATTGGTCCAATCTGCAGCTGAAGAAGATAACTTGAGGACATCTCCATTCAAGTCATAATCATTGGCAACAACATCTAGTGTGACTTGTTGATTCTTTTGACAAACAATGGTATCATTAATAGTGACAGGTGGCAAATTGACAATATTAAGAGTAAAGGTGGCATATGTGAAGTCATAGCCATCATCAATCTTGAATGTAATGCTATCAGTGTAGGAAACACTCTTTTCAGGAGTATAAATAAGAGTGTAAGTATTTTGAGTTACAACCATCCATTGTTGATTCAAATAATTAACGTTATTGGAGGTGGACAATTGTGAAAGTGTGAAAGTTCCCCTAGTTGGCTTTTTAGAAACAGTAATTGTTACAGTATCGAGAATATCACTCTCTGCATATTCTAAAGAAATGGTATTATTCTCAGAGTTCTTTGGAATGGTAATGGTTTTGCTTTCCATGGTTGGAGGGGAATTCTTGACTCTGACAAAAACATATGTAGCCGACTCCTTATCTCCATCAGTGATTGTATATTCGAAAGCATCACTATAGACCTTAGTATCAGCAGATGGATAATATTCAGCAGAGAGACCATCATCTGAAAAGACAACAACACCCTTAGAACCAAGTCCTGACTTGGCTGTAACAATGGTAATATTGTCAGAATTGACATCATAATCGTTTGCCAATAAATTGAGTGAGGCAACCTTATTCTTTGGAATGACATAATCATCTGGATTACTGGTTGGAGCATCATTCAAAACATTGATATAAATAGTGTCACTAACAGTTGAATTTCCATCAGTAATGGTAAAATTGAAAAAGTCAGCACTATTATAACCTGTTGGTGGAGTATAATAAATGAATTGAGAGTCAACAATGGTAGCAACAGCTCCTACAACATTTGGTGTTGTAATACTAACAATTGTTAAAATATCACCATCTACATCACTAATTTGAGCTCCACTCTCAGTAACATAATTGAAAACATCAATGATATTGTTTTGACTATTCTTTGAAATATCCTTATAGATGGTTACAATTTCTGGAACTCTATTCAAAACTTCAATTTTAACATAACTCTCTGCATATCCATATCCATTATAAACTGTATAATAAAATGTTTCATTTCCTGCGTAATATTTTGGACTGGTATATTGAACCTTATTACCTGCGAGTAATTTGGCTGTTCCGTACAATGGTTGGGTAATGTTGACGAGGGTGAGATTGTTTCCTTTTGGATCAACATCATTCAAAAGAGGATAGATGGTATAGGCAGTATTCTTATAGGCCTGTAATGAATCTGGTTTTGGCTCTGGTGGATTGTAACCTACAGAAGTTGAAATCATAATAACAGTAGCTACAACAGAAACAATAACCATGCTTGAAATTACAGCACCGATCTATCAATGAATTATTGGAAAGTAAAAATTTCTATTCGAAAGAGTAAACAAACTTACAATTGTTTGAGTAATGGTTCCACCTTTCTATTATTTCCAACAAGATATTCCAATAAAACATTAGCATGGCATTGTATGATGATATTTGTCAACCAAAAAGAGTGAAATCATTAAAATACAAACCAATAAAGAACCGTGAAATCCCATCACTTTACTTGTGGCAGTAGTGCCACTCATAACAATAGCTGGCATTCTTCAAAAAAACGAGTAACAAACCAATGAGGCTAAAAGAATGCTTTTTTTTAAAATTGTAGTTTCCTTGCGTTTGAGGCAATTTGTCATGAGCCATCAAACAATTTTAGTGGAGAGAAGCGCTTAACTGACACTTTGTGTGCGTTGATGGTGGTCAGAAAGGCATTCTAAATTGCGTCCTTATTCAACTGATGTGGGTTTTGTATTTCGATAACATCATTATCGGTAGTTGAATATTACTCAATCCAATAAAAGAGTCAGCCTGTTGTGCAATAAGTATTCATCAAATGGGATTAAAATAAATTGAGTGAATGATGGCCTCGGAAGGAAATTATCAATGCTTGCCTGAACATAAAAGGATGGACATGTTTACGATTTGGGATGATTGTGTTTCATAAAGTCAATTGATGTAGAGTTGGAGTGTGATGATTTTGCAAAGAAGGATGTCATGATATCAATTAATGTGTTTGGAATCTCAATTAATTATCGACTACTGTTTAATCATGCACTACGGAAATAAGAGATAATGTGGTAAAATACTTTTGTTATCAGAGATGACGCTAATTTACTTCCGAAGTGTGGTTGATGATGTTCGTTTGTTTTTGGAAAATTCATAATCTAGATGTTGATGAATTAATACTCAATTTAATACTGGAATGGATGAATTCATATGTTCATTAGTCATGATTCATGTTTTTGATTTTGTGAAAATATTTGATGAAGATCCATCAACAGGTCCTTCTATTTTTTAAACAAATATCGTTATTTATTATTATTTCAAAAATATAACAACAATAAATGGCGCGCAAGCATACTTTACAATCTAAAAATAATGTTGATGTTGGTACCAAGTTCTTCCTCTAATGCAAATTCGCAATAGACAACACAAAAAAACATTCATTAATTTCTCTCTAGAGATATTTATAATTTTAGCAAAATAGAACAAGTAGTAGCTTCTTTGACCAAACAACACACAATTTCTCTCGTAATCCACTCTATAAACCATTATAATAATAACAAATCAAAGTATACTTTAATAACCACCACCACTATACCACACAAAGATGATGATCAATAACAATAATAATAATCGCCATTACCCTAACCAACAACAACAAATGATGAATCATCAAGTTGCTTTCCATGATCGGTTTGAAATGTTCCAGCAAGAAGAAAAGTACGAACAACAACAACAACATCACAACAACAAGATGATGATCAAGAAGGAAGAATTTATCAACCACAATCAATTCAACATGACTACTCCAACTCAACATCATCTTCTTTGTGGCCAATATGGGCTGTATCTTTCCAGTTGTGGCTCCAGTAAATTACGACTTTCGTATCTTTTGCAGGACTAAAGAACAGCAGCAACGAAAGAAACGTTCTATAGCGAATACTTACAAGATTCGTGATGATTTTATTATTGAAACTAATTATTATGATTTCCATCACAAGGCTGAAAGAGCATTTGATAATATTCATCAACCTGCATTTATTACGCACAGAGCTTATCCAACCAATCAAAAGAAGGCCAAACATTTGAATTCTGATGTCAAGAATAATCAGGAAATGTTTAAAATGATTTCTCAAGGAATGTGTGAAGGATCTAGACGTGTCTTTCAAGAAGAGAATGCTGGTGGTTGTAGTATATTTTCTGAAACCTTGTCTTGTGAAATTGTAACAAGAATGTTTAATGCTCAATTGACCAAAACTGAAATGGAAATTGACTATGTCAATGAGCATTGTAAAAAGACAGACTTTTTGGTTGTTATCAATGGAAAGAAATATGGAGTCTCTGTCACCAGAGCTTTCAAATATATCAAACCAAACAAGAATGGTCAAGTATTTGATCACTTCTCTATGGAAGATGCCACAGTCTTGTTGAAGAAGAAATTGGAAGGAGTAACAACAGCCAACAAGTGCGTTCAAAATGAAGATGTTTGGCAAAAGCAAATCTTGCACATTTTCACTCCTAATGCCAATGTCACCAAAGTATTGAAAAGGGCTTACATGGATTTGAAACACTCTTTGAGACACAATACTATTGTTATGGTTACAGAGGCCACAAATATGGATTGTATTTTCACTGAAAGATTTTACGATCACATCTTTTAAAATTATTGTAAAGTAAAAGTTTATTTGTAAATAGTTCCCAAATTTGCGCATGTTTCTTTTCCCGCCAACAATCAATTTAAAAATTAATAATAATTAAAAAAAAATGCACAAATTCCTCATCAATCTTATTGTGCCTTCTCCAATTCCCGAACGTGATAGAGCCTTCTATCACAAACTCATACGAATACTGACCATACTATGTAGTCCCATCACAATCGGATTGATTTTTCTAATATTAAAGTATAATAATTGGTGGTTCTATGATGACGATGAATTTGATCAAATGGCACTGGATCCAATGATGAATAGAAGAGTTTCATCTATTGGTTTCAAGACAATTTTCTATATTTTAATCCCGAATTTAGTATTCTTGTATAATCAGACGATTAATAGTGCTGATTATGTGTTGATTTATGTTTGTGGCTTTCCTGATTCATTTGTTGTTTTATATCACATATGGAGATTGGGAATTGGATTTGATTCTTTTTTATCAAAAGTATTGTATATATGTTATTATGGATATGCATTGTTTTCATTGAATAGATTAATTCATGATATGGTGAATTATGGATTGGACCACTTGATTGCTGAGAGGTTGAATGGAGGAGGAGAATTGAGAAGAGTTTTGGAAAATCATGGACCTTTGGCAACTGTTAAAAGTGCTGTAGATACTCTTTCGAATATGAATTTACAACAATTAGTTATGCATCGTAATAGATTGGAAAGTGATTTGAAACAAGTTGAAGAAAAGATTGTAAGTGATTCTGATTCTTCTTGATTTTTAAATATTGAAATTGTAAACAAAAATAGGAAATGAAAATGGGAAGCAATCAATCTCACATGACTGATAATGTCTATTCGAAACCATCTGATTTGAAAACTGAAACTTGTGTGATATGTTTGAGTGCTCCACCAGTTTATCAGTTTGTTCCATGTTATCATTGCTGTTTGTGTGAAGATTGTGTAACTTATAATTACAGCAAGACTATAGAGAGAATGCAACAAGTAGTAACACCAGTAATGGATGATTCAGATCAAGACATTCTTACTGCTGCCGATTATTCAATGACAACTGACAATAATCGATTATCTTTTGCAGAATTGGAATATTACAAAGAACAAGACAATTTTTTAAATTGTCCTGGTCAACTAGTTACTGAAGGATTATTAGAGAAATGTGTTTATTGCCAGCAACCTGCTACGAGCTTGGAATTAATTAATTCTGGATTGCAACCTCATACGGATGTCAAGCCATTCGATGAAATGTATCATTTTTATGGAACGAGGAGAGCTCACAATGAAACAACTAATTTATTGGACCATTATCGGAATAATCCTGATGCTCTGCTGTTATTAAAACCAGAAACGAGGAGGATAGTTAATAAGGCAATTAGTTTTCAAACTGAAAACTAGTTTTTTGATAAATATCTCATGCTGGAAAGAGTTAGTATTACAATTTATCTTTGAGTTGGGTTTCCTCTATTGCCAACACTGTTTTCTGCCCTAATCTCGTCTCCATTTGGAGAGCCTTTTGTATGCTCAATATCTCTTACTTTCTCAATTCTCTTATTAGAGGAATGGTTCCTGCGAGGGTTGGTTAATTGTTTTTTGTCTTTTTTCTCAGGACTTTCAATTATGGATGGCTTAGTAATTTGTTCGGTGAAATGGTTATTAGAAACTGGCTGAGGAATCTTATATCTATCAGATTGCTGCAAACTCAGAGAATATAACTGATTTCTTTCTGATTTTGGTTTCTTCAAAATACTAGCAGTTACCTCAAGGAAGTACTTGTGTAATTTTTCGAATGGTGGTCTCTTTTTAGGATCTGCTTCTAAACAACTGTTTCCAATTTTGACTAATTTTCTAGCTTGATCATGTGTTAAGCAAGGAAATGTTTCTAATAGTTCTTTAGCAGATAAAAATGACTCTAATCTCTCATCCGTTTCAACATGCCTACGAGCCAATAACTCAAACATGGTGACTCCAAAACTATACACGTCAAATGCAGTTAACACATATTCCATTGAGTTATTTTGCGCTTTTTGGAAAGGTAATCTTTCGTATAACTCAGGTGCCTTTGTTGATACAACTTTTAATACAAGAAATCACATTATTATGACTTACCATATATTGATATGTTCCTCCAATGGTTGCTGAATAAGTTTCAACATTTTCAACAATTAATGAAACATCAAAGTCTGCAATTTTCACATCCTTAACAAGTTTAATTCCATCAACCTCTGTCATGTTAATTAAAATATTTGCAGGTTTAATATCATAATGAATAATATTATCACGATGCAAATATTTCATTGTTTCACAACATTTCACACAAATAAATAATACCTGAATTAACATTCCAAAATTATCAACTCCAAAATTAGTCAATTGTGTTGAACAATCAGCCAATGAACAATCCATCAATTCCAAAATTAAATGAGTAATTCCATATTCATCAGTAAAGTCGTGTAATAATTTAACAACTCCGTCACATTTGATTTTCTTAAAAACGTCCAATTCATTTTGTAAATCATTTTCTGTAGAAAATTTCTCTAAAACTTCGATTCCATTCAATTTGACTTTTGTTAGCTTGTTTTTTCTATTTCCTGAAATGACACATCTTGCTGATCTGTCAATTTCAGGATTGACTAATTCTGGTGAGGAAATTGGTTTTTGAATTATATGAGGATAGCTGTACGCCATCATCTCAGCAAACATTTTCACAATATATTCCTCCCAACATTCAAATGTCACTGATTTGTGTGAAAGAATATATCTTACTGACATGGCATTGGCAGTTGACTTGTTTACAATACTTTCCAATAGAGACCTGTACGAATTTGCATATTCGAAAAATTGACAAGCCACTTCTTTTGAATTCGAAAGGAAATTGCAATTAATCTCTCCAGAACTGTCAAGACTAAAGTCCTCAAAATTATTCGAATCACTGTAAATCAATTTTGCATACAAATATTGAATTAAATATTTGGGACGAATTTCATTAGAAACCTTGTATTTCTTTCTCAAGAGATTTATAGTATTGTATCGTTTGTTTCGAATAGCTACTTCTAAAAGACTTTCTCCCTCAAGCTAATAAAGTTTCGAATTATTTCTTGTATTTCGAATAAAAAAACTTACATTTTTCTATTCAAACATTAAATTATTTAAATTGTGAAATTATTTACGTACCACCATAAAATCAATATTCGAAACTTGAGCCAAAAATTCAATAATTTCTCTTGAACATTTTTTTCTGACAGCTGTCATTAATAATGTTTCTCCTTGCACCGAATTATCATTAATGATCAATTCCAGATTTATATTTTGCAAAACTTCCCAATCTTGCTTTAAAATTGCATTTGCAGCCTTTCGAATATTTTGTTCAATTTCATCCGAAACTTTTGAATTAGTTGGTAACTTGGTTGGTGAATTTATCTTTCCAAAAGAAACTTGTGGCGGTGGTGATGACGAACTGCCAAACCATTTATTAATCATTTTTTGATTTTTTTTAAAGTGACAAATGTCAAAGAAATTTTCAATTCAAAATACAGATCGAGCATTGTCATTTTGAATTATTAATCATGTCATTTAACTTTTTTATTGTTTTTACTTTTTGAAATTTTCTGTTTTTTTCTGAAACTTAAAGAAGTTCAGAAATGAATTCAATATTATTCTTATCCCATGGAACTGCAGTTTCGAATGCCTTGACAACATCTTCTCCCTTACTAACAACTGAGAATAAATCCAAATGTTTAGGATTCATGAATTTTTCATTGACTGCATTGTTGAATAATTGAATTAATGGATCGTAGTATCCATCGACATTGACAATGATAATTGGTTTGCAGTAAATTCCAAGCTTTTTCCAAGTGATTACTGTTATCATGAATTGAGAATTGTTTTGGGAAATTATTAAGAAATTTGAGAAATTGAGAAATTAAGAAAGTTGAGAAAGTGTGGATTTGAATTTGGAAGAAAATTAGAAATTGATGAAATGCAAAACGAACCTTCAAGTAATTCTTCAAAGGTGCCAACACCACCTGGTAAAGCAACACAGGCATCGGTATCTTCGATCATTTTGGCTTTTCTTTCGTGCATTGTTTCGGTAATGACCAATTCAGAGATGAAATTTCTTTCCATTCCCCATTGTTTATCAACCATGAACTTTGGGATGACACCTACAACGTATCCACCCTTATCCATGCATGATTTGGCAACAGTACCCACTATTGTATGCATTCCGATAATTTATTTCATCATCAGACGTATATTAAATATTTTTCAATATTATTATTAAATTGTATTAAATATATTGAACATTAAATAGAATAATTAAAAGTTGCATTCTCATCATAAATACTTACTCAAACCACAATTACCACCTCCATATCTCACTCCAATTCCATTCTGAGCACAAGTCTCACCAACTTGTGTTGCAGCACTAAAATACTTTTCATCCAATTTACTACTCGAAGCACAATAAACAACAAAGGAAAGTTTTGGCTTTTCTGCAGCAACAGTTGAAGCAGAACAATCAGAAGAGCATGTTGAATTGGTTGGTTGGCTAGACATTTTTTTCTATGCGTTGTTGTTGTGTATTTGATTCAACAACGATAATGCAGATTCTGAAAATGCATTTTGCTTGTGAATTGTGAGAATGGGCTGTTTGGGAAGTGATGTTGCATTGTGAGAATGGAAATATTGTTGTTGAGGGTTGCATTTTGATTGGTTCAAAAATGGTGATGAGGTGATGTTGCATGATGAATGGCGAGGTTTCGGAAATGATGAGCAAGAGGAATTGGATGAAGGAAAATTGAGGAATGGATGATGAATGGGTAGGTGTTTGAATAATCTTGTCGGTTTGGAGAATGGCTGAGTAATTGTTGTGAATTTCGATAATGTTTGAGTATGGCCATATTTGGAGGTGAGAATATGTATTTATTTGGAAGGTGAAATTGTTTTTACAATTTTTCAATTCGTACGCTATTGAGAATTTGGAAATTTATTAGTCCTATGAAAGAATTAGTGAATCAATAAGTTAACTAGGTACGAAAATGCAAGAATATTAAAAATTATATATTAAGGAAATTTAACATTGCTTAATTTTATAAATTGAAAGTAAGTTTGAAAGAAAAGTAAATTAGAAGAGAATGCATTCTGGAAGGTGGTGTGGTTATCTACTGTTTGGTGTTAATAAGTTTGCATTGTTTCAATCAAACTCTGTCAGCAATCAACGAATGTCATTTACAGAGATTCAACGATCAACAATCAATTGTGTGCATTATTAATAGATTATCAGATTGATCTTTTTTTGCAAATTGGTAAGCATGATCAAAATATTCACTCCAAAAAAGGTAACTGCATGAAATTTGGTTGAATGATAAAAGAAAAATTCTTAAACGAAACAATTTTCAATAAGAAAAAAATGTCTCGTTCATCAGTTTCTACTGTTCCAGCCTTCCTTCAATCCTCAACTAACCGTTCCTATGAAGATAAGAAAGTTTACGTTCAGGATGTTTCGAATTTCACTGCAAAATTATTCGACAATTCACAATTTTCAGATTTTCAAATTGTTCTTACAAAATTACAACAAACTCTTTCAGTTTACAAAGGCATTCTATCCATAAATTCTGAATTCTTCCAAACACTCTTCTCCTCCAACAATTTTTCAGAGAATTTATGTGGTCAACTGATCCTTGATGATTTATTCGAAGAAACAGCACTTTACAAAATTGTAAAAAGCTTTTACACTGGTAGTTTAGAATACTCACTCGATGAAGAAGGTCTCTCCCTCCTAATTTTCTCACAAAAATACATGATTCAAGGTTCATTAGCTTCACATTTGAAGCATGAAATTCAAATGAACATTTCACCTCAGAATTGTTTTAAACTTTTTGGACAATTGATCAAAGTTTACGATGGAAGTTTTATCAATGATGTGTACAGTGGTGTAGATAGAGGAGTTGTGGATACTAACTTGTTGCATTCAATTATGAAAAGTGTAATTTTGGAGATGGCAAGAAACTTTTCCAATATTTTGAAGGAAAATATTTCAGAGCTTTTGGCACTTTCTCCTGATTCATTATTGCTCATGTTGAGAGAATTTTCAAAATTGTCAAATAGTGAGTCCTCCCCAACCCCGTTGATGGTTGCTTCTAGATCTCACAGAAAATCATCCACTTCTTTATATGGAAGTTTAAGTTCTTCTTATTCGAATCCTTACTCTCCATCCTCAAGCTCATCTTTCACAAAGAAAAAATTTGAAAGGTTCCCATCCTCACCTTCACTCAGAAGAGAATCCAGCTCTTCAAACATTGTATATATACGATGCGATGGCAAACTATTCCTTCGTTTCATTATGGATTGGATGATTGCTGATGTTGAGGCAAGAAAAGATTATATGGCAGAGATTAAGTCCATTGAAGGCACATTTAACTATTCCAACTATTAAGATATAAATTTCATTTCCAAATAATCAGTGTTTAATTTCATATAGTTCATTGCCAAACTAGTGAAAATCAGTCTTTTCTTTTCTTTGTACTCTTCGTTGTGGAGGTTTCATTCTTCTTGTCGTCTTTACGTTTTCTTTTTACATTCTTTTCAGGACAAGGGGTGGATTCTGTTGAGGTGGTTGTGGTTGTTATACTATCTGAAGAGGATTGAGGGGATTGGAAATTGATAATGTGTTCTCCATTTTGTAAATCCTTCTTCCTCTTTTGTTTGTGTGGATCATGTTGAAAAATTTTGAGAGGTTTCATTGGATTATTGCTGTTATTACTATGAGAAGGAGTATTATCGCTAGAAGAGGAGGCAGGATGGATGTTATTCCTTTCAGAGATCATTTCATTATAAAATTTAAATTGAGACATGTTGGAATTTGGTTGATGATGAGTGGCTTCTTCCACCAGTTCAGTTTCTTGCTCCTTATTCTGTTGATTCGATTGCCCAGAGAGCCATTTGATAAATCCATCACTGGGTTTTTGTTGAACTCCCTGTTGTCCGTATTTGTGTTGAAATTGATTTGGTGTGTTATTGGTCTTATGTGACAGAGTCTTTCTAATACTTCCCAAAATTTGCTTGGTTGAATCAAGGGTTGGTGGATCAGCTGGATGGTTAGATAATTGGAAATCTTCTGTATCTTCTTCCTCGTCTGCTATTTCCTCTGATTGGTAATTTGGTATTGTTGACAATTTGAGTACAGGTTGTGATTGTCGACCTGTATTCAAGTTGGAATATAGATTAGAAATTAATTGCCTCATATTATTACCATTATTTCCATTATTGTTATTATGGGAAGATTGAGCCATATTATTATTGTTAACATTGGAATAAGGTTGAGACTGAAAATTATTGGTATTCTGTTGAAAATTATTGGTTGATGGAGGTGGTATATTCGATGTGGTAGAGACCATTTGATAGTATGGAGAAGGAGCATTAGATGAATTAGCGGTCAAAGTGGTATCAGATACATTGTTGAATGCATACTGATGAGCATTTTGAGGGTTTGTATCATTATTGAGCAATTGGCGAAGCATGCCCCAGAGCATTGGCTCATTTAAATTATCTAGTACTGTACCTGATTGCTGCCTATTGCTGTTGTTTGATTGTAGTTGTGGGGCCACCATGGTGGTGTTTGGTTCTTGTTGACTGGTGGTATCATCTCCAAACTCTCTTACAGATCTGACATCACTGAATAAATCTCGATAATCTTCCAAGTTGAATTCAGATGTGGATTTTGTAAGTGACAAGGATGAATGCGGCTCAATGTTGAATGTTGAATGGTTGCATTCCTCGAATAATTGACTTATACCAGCATCTGATAGCTGATCATTGTGTGAATGAAGTTGTTGATTTGCAGATGATGCTAACATAGGATTGTTATGAGCATTGATAAATTCTAGGGTGGAGGAATTAGTACCAGGGGAGAGCATGAACTTTTTAGAATCATTAAATGACGAGCTAGATGTACTGGTGGAAGAAGAAGAATTGGTGGTATTATTGGATAAGGAATGAGATGAAGATGGGAATGAAGAAGAACCTTGCAGGCCAACATCTCCACTACCATTATTGAATGAAGATGTGGAACCTCTATCCATAACTAGTTGTTGCTGGTTTGCATTGGATGATGGAGTTTCAGGTTGTTGATGGTTTACATGGGAGGTACATGCTTGTATTTTTTGGTGTTGGTCTGTGGATGCATTCGGCACCAACATGGATGATGTATTGCCGGATGCAAAACCGTGGTCCTGCTTTTGCTCAATGTTATTCATGCGTTCTTGTTGCACAGATAATGTTGACAATATTTGCTGAATAATATTATTCATCATTGTGTCCACATTCTTTTGAGAGAATATTCCTTCCAAACCTCTTGATTGAATACTTGATGATACCAATGACGATGATGATGAAGAATATTCTCTTCTAGTATCATTATTCAGGTCATATTGTTGATGTGCTGATGGAACGCTATTCGTAAAAGTATTGGTAGGAGAGTCTATTATTCTACTTTCAACTTTTATGCGATGTCCTTCGGTATGATCATCACTATTAACACCCGCATTGCTCATATTTGTTTCCTTGTGATGGTTATGGCATGTCGATGTTGCTGTCTGAAATGTATTGTTGTTAACACTATCATCATTAATGGCTAATGTACTACTAGATGAAGTAGATGATGGTTTTTTCTTTCCAGCAGCAGCATGCTTTTGTTTAGAGTTTCTATCATTTTTCTTATTGTTCATATTGTTGTTGTGGTTTCTTTTCGGTCAAGTTCTTTATCACCAAATTGTTATCATTGTATTGTTGAGAGGCGAAAGTGAAGTTTTTTCTAGAGTTTGAAAAAGCTCTTGTAATCGAACAACCACACAGCAGGCAATCTCTCTGTTTGGAACGTTGTTGTGCACACAAATATTGCTGCAATTGGCGCCAAGCCACTAAAATGTATTTTCGATTGTGCCTTTTTCGTTTGACGTCGTGAAGTGTATGTTGGGTGGTTTTGCGCTGGTGTATTGTGTACTCAGGCGTTGAGGTACATTCTGAGCGTTTTTTTTTTGATAAGGCCAGTAGCTGGCGATCTTGGTAGACGAGGTCAAACAAAATCGTAACCTGAATTGAATATTCATGGAAATTTGGCAAGCTTCCATCAAGCATACACGATTGAGGATTCTCTTTTGATTGCTTGCTTGTTTGCTTACATCTGTGAGGCAACAAACAAGAAATTCCGAAACGCAACAAAATGTTGCCTCAACCAATAAGGTCTTGTTGTATGATGATGGTTGTTATCATCAAGCCTTCTATGAAAGATACGCAGCAGAATCTGCTACAAATTGATCAATAGATGATATAGAAAATGTATTGGAATATTATTCCTTATTCCTTTTCGTGTTAATATTAGTAAATTCCAATCACTGCTACAGATTGATGTTGGTGTTTAATTGATGTTTGAACAATTACTCCTATGAATCTCATTCACAATATTTATCAGATAATGGTTCCAAAATGAATGTAAAAGAGATTCCTTTCAATTATGATACATCATTGGAAACCATTCCTCCAGAATCTAGCCAAACCTATTTTGAAATTACAATTTCCTTAGGGTGTTCAATTAATCAGAGATTAAGTTTGAAAACCTCACCAATTTCAACAAAAATCTAGAAATGTAAAACTGCTGGACGTAAAATTTGAGTCTCAGCGCTGAGACTTGGAGATTCAATGGGTTAATCTCTAATGAAATTAATTTTTTGTCCTAAAAAGTGGATTAAGTTCTACTATTATGGTCAACTGAACAAAAATCATTATTTACAAGTTGTTTGAAAGGAGGAGATTTTTTCATATTAGAGAGTATTTTAAGAAAAAATGGGCTTTGAAAGAAAACAATCTCTTATTCAATTGGTTCAGTCAAAGTTATCGAATAATGTCACTAGGTGTCAAAATTCATCTCTAATTCTTACAACTATATTCGACGGCAACTGACATTACCAGAATCAAAACAACTTAAAAAAAATGGTCCAAGTAATTGTCCCTGTAACCCACGATGACATGGAAGAAGTAATGTCAAACGACACTTCAAAAAATCCTGAAGAAAATGTTTCAACTTTCTATCGAGTGTGTGGTGGAAGAATTCCAATTAATCTATTTATCATTTCTGTAGTATCCATACTTCTTATCATGAGTTGCTTTTGTATCTGGATTGCTTCATTCACTGTAACAAAGCAAGTGATTGAGGGTCTGTCAAATGACTTGATAGATGTCAATGGAGAAAAAATCACTTCCTATCTCAATACCTTTATGGATCCCCTTGGAAAACTCTCCAAATCCATTGCCTATGATTACAACAATGGAATTGCTACTACTTCCAATTTTAGAACTTATCTGTTTCCCAAATTTGCAGAATTCAAAACTTCTAGTTGCGGATATTTCTTTGCTGGTCCTCCTTCTACTAAATACACCTATTCTACTGCAGGTTCTGGAAACAAAACCTATCCAGTTTATTCCTATCAACCTCCTGGATTTATCGGAACTTTGCGTGATACCATAAATGTAACAACTGGAGTTGTAACCAAATATAACTCAACTGTGGATTTAACTCCGTTTTATACCCTAGATCAAGATTATTACAATTCGACCATAATATTATCTACTCAATTGGGCATTGAAGGTGTTTATGGCAATGCTTATAAACCTTATGGATCAAGTATGGCCATTTATCACTCCTCAAAGTTGTATGATCCAGTTCAGTACAAGACAGGTAAGAAAGTGGTGACAGGAGTGACAAGAGTAAACATTTCACTGCAGAATATTGTTGATTTCTTGAGTAAGATTGTGTTGATTGGTAAAGGGTTTTGTTTGGTTTCTCAGCAAAATGGAATTCTAGTTGGTGGGTCAATTAATACTTTGACACCTGACGGAAATACTAATTTACATATTTATAATTTGACAGAAAGAGATGCTGGGCAATTAATGAAAGAAATTAGTGTAAAATATGGTGATTTGAATGAATTACCAAAAAGAATTACTGAAACAGTTAATGGAATAGGTTATATCATATCTCATTACACTTACAAGATTGATAATTTGAAATGGAATGTCTATTTCGTTGTTTATCAAGAAGAAGTGATTGCATCCTTGACAATGACAACTGGCATTAGTGTTGGTGTGGCTGTCACTGTCATGATTATTGGTGTCATTGTCAGTTTTATCATTGGATTTATAGTTTCCAAACCAATGAAAGCTTTAGAACGTCAATTTGAGCTTATTAAGGTCCTTGATCTTGACACTGTCAATATTGGTAATTCAGTTTTCAAGGAAATTAATTCCATTTTTGGAAATTTGAAAACAACTGTTCAATGGCTGAAGGAAATTAAATCTTTCATCCCAGAACACGTTTTTGAACAATTAATCAACTCACAAACAATTGAGATGGAATTTGGATCTGTCAATATCAAGAAGAATGAATCCTTTGCTGAATCGAAACATTCCATGGGCACAACTAATGATGGAGTTAGCCACGCAGATTTGGAATCGAGAATTCATTCTTCCAAGAAGGGAGGTGGCTCACTATTCCAAATGGGATTATCTGTCAAGCAAACTGTTGTAATCACTTGTCAATTGAAGGGTTTCTTCTCAATGGAACAGCCAAGTGATATTGAGAATGGTTTTAAAAAGATTATGAATGCTATTGGACCGATTACAAAAGTATACAAAGCTAATTTGCAAGTTCTTCCAAAGTTTGCTTTACAATTGGCACTTTCGGCTAATTCTCCAGGAGAGCAAGATAAGCTGATTGAAAAGAGTGTTGAGCTGGCTTTCAAACTTGCAAAGGCTATCAATCAGGTTGGACCTGATTTCTACCCTAGAATTGGTGTCAGTTGTTCGAAAGCTAGGGTTGGAAACTTGGGAACTAAAACTTCAAGGTACTATACGATTGTTGGTGCATGTGTGGTTGACTCTGAAAAATTGTGCATATTGGCAGATTCATTCAATGTAAATGTGCTAATTGATACATCTTGTTGTGAAAGTTTACAAGCAGATATTGCCAGAAAATTCATTTTGAAACCAATTGACAAGATTAAGAAGGAAATGAATAATTCAAGTATTGAAACAATTTATGAAGTTTTTGGTGAAAAGAATACCGACAATGATGAATGGCTTTATGAATTGGAAAATTCAAAGAAGAACAATGCATTTGCAGAGTATTACAAGGCATTTGATGTCTTTTCTGCTGATTTCTGGAATGGAATTTCACAATCTGAAATCAAAAAGGAGATTGATCACGTATTGGGAGTTTTCCAAAATTATTTAGTGAGGCATCCAGAGGATATAACAACGGAGAGATTGATTTCAATCTTGCAACCATGTTTGAATATTTCAAAGATGGAGGAGAATTCGATACCTATAATCTTATCGAGTTATTATTCTTCGTTTGATTGCTCGTATGCTGCATTTACAAATGTTGGAGATGTGAGGGCTCTTCCTCTCGATATTTAAATAAATATTACAAAATAATTATGTGAAAAAGTTTAAATCTTGTATTGAAGACTGTCAGAATTTTCTAGTTCAAATTTGATGAATTTGGCAATTTCAAGAGAAAGCTCACTATAGACATAACTTGGGAATGGTTCCTTATCAAACTCTATAACAATTCTATCTTGATGATGTTGGGCTTTCTCATCAGTTGTTGTTGTAGATTGCACTCCTTCCTTCTTATCCGATTTCAAAGCAATATTAAATCCAAGTTTGGCAGAATCGAGAACGCTCTGGACCAAGGGATGATACTTCATGAGAGCTTGGGCTAAATTGAGCATATTTCCACTTCCGTCAACCATTGGAACAATCATATTTTGATGAGTTGTTTCTACAACCTCAATAGATAGAGCTTTAGATGTTTCTGATTGTGTAGTCTCAGCTTTCTTGTTTACTTGAAGCTGAATGTGACCGACCTGTAAGGAAACGAATAAAAGGAGAGGTGAAACCCATGAAAAGCTGATCAATTGCAATTCTTTTTGTTGATGTGTAAGGTCCTTCATTTCTTCTGGCTCCAAGTTTGGTTTTTGCATTTGACGTTCAATCTTTTCCTTCTTACTTTGATTTCTAAAGATCGCCAATTCAATAGCTCGTTCTAATTGCTTAGTCAGACCATATTTTGAAATGTATACATAACTATCCTCTGAAGCATCTCCCATACTTTCACCCAACTCGCTTTGTTTTACAGTAAGATTTGGATCCAAGTCCATAATGTAGGCAAGGAATCCTTCAAAGAATGAAATAACATGGGAGACTGGCTTTAAGCTAGTATGTGGTGATTTCCAATCATTCACATAATTAAATAAAGCTGTATAATTTCCAATATTGGTCTTGATGAAAGAGTAAGTGTAGAGAGAAGTTACATCATCTGCACCTGGTTGCCAGTCATCACTTTCCACATTTTCATAATCAAATTCGCCAGATAAACGTTTCTTTAACTGTTTGCTTTCAACTTTGACTTTTCTCATGGATTGCATAACAAGTGTTCTCAATTTGGATAAGACACGAATCTTGGATTCGACAGAGTTGGAAAATTTAATTTCCTTCATCAATTGAATACATTCATTATAAGGTTTAACTGAAGTATCTTTTGGAATAAAATCAGAGTGAACACCAAAGTTTTGCAAGCTACATGTGGTCAAGATGGAATTAATCTTTTGATTGATCATTAAATCTTGATCTCTGAAATGATATTCGTACAATTCAAATGTTGTAGAGTAGAGTTTCTTGTGCAAGTGATCGGCAATAATGGTCTTACAAAAGTTGTAAGCTTGTTGAACGGTTATGAAATGACTCTTAGTAATATCAGTAGTGGCAGGTACAGAAGTTCCAAAAATGATTTCATCATCATAGTCATCGTATTGTCCATCTTGTTGGTCCAAGTTGTTATCTGATCCACCCATACTTCCTAACTTGGCTGAAATAATTTCATTACCGAAAAATTCCCAAACCACTTGATCACACAAAAAGATGATAAAACTCTTCAAGTCATCAATGGCATTGTAGAGGAGAACACCGTCTTTTCTGGCAACTTTACGTGCACCAGATGATTGATTTCTATTATTACCGGCATAGTAGCTTCCATGATAGAGGCCATCGAAGAATTCAATAAATCCCTTGACAAAGCTTGCTTGTGGTGAGATATATTCTGTCTTGATAGTCTCGCCCAACAATTTGATGACTTCATTCTTGAAAACGACCTTATCCAATAAATTACACTTGTCTCCATTCTTGGAGTAGTATTCTAAAAGATTTGTCTTTTCCTTTCTCCAAGTTTCCTTACTCATGAGAGAGTAGTATTTCCACTTTAATTCCAATTCTGGTCTTTCAATGCATTCCTTCTTGGTCATTCTCAAAAATTGGAGATAATTGCTATCATCCATATGACCAACATTTTGGAAAAGTTTGATTGCATCATTCACTTGCGTTCTCAATTGGAAAAGATGGGTAAGTTCTACATTTTTACAATTTCCCTTCTTGAAAACAGCACTTTCAATCTTGTCTCCACTCCAAGTTCCTTCAATAACGTCACCTGTGGCAAGGTAAAGTTTACCTTTTCCTTTTCTAGTACCTCTCTTGAATTCTCCTTGGAAATATGAACCATCAATATATTGATAAGTTCCCATATGATGATATAAACCATTCTTCCAGCCACCATAATATCTTTCACCATTACCCATTACTTCCACTCCAAAACCATCTTTCAGATCTTCAGAAAATCCACCAAAGTATTTCTTATTTTCCTGAACGTGATACAATTCACCTTCCTTGTGTTTTTCCAAATCTCCAACCGAAATTACATAGGCAGAATTAAACTTGCTTTTAGCTCTGAAAGTTCCCCAATATTCAAGCTCATTAGAGTAGGTGACCTTGAAAGGAATGGCTTCACTAGGGTTATTCAAAATCCATTGACCAATAGCAATGGCTGTTGGTGGTGCTTGCTCAGTATTGTTGGCCTTTTTACCAGTTGGAGGTGGTAAGGTATTCTTGTATGGGAAAATCATTTTACCAAAACCGTGTCTCTTTCCTCTAATAATATCACCTTCATAGACAGCACCATTTGGATATTTCAATTCACCTCTACCACATAGTCTTGAGAGAACTGGACAAACACAGGCATCTCCAAAAATTCCACCTGTGAAATCCTTGACGTCCTTTTCCTTAGCTTTTGGTGTAGTTCCTTCTTCTGCACCTCCAACTCCGAGCAAGGCATACATCATGTACAATTCATCATCAGTCATGGATGAATCATACTTTTGAATGTATCCAATGTATTGCCATTCTTGATCATTTTCATCAAAGAATGTTAGATGGGCAAATGATTCTCCATTCTTGCTGATTTTATCCAAAATTCCATCCATCATTTCTTTTTGATTTGCTTCTCTTTGCATTAATTTGATTTTTCTCAATTCCTTCTCCGATAATTTCTTAGGTGTCTTGGAAGTAGTGGTTGTAGTGTCAGATTTGGCATCATCCTCTGTTCTTGCATCTGTTGTAGAGAGAGAGCTTGGTGTTGTTGCTTCCTCTGCTGGACTTCCAACTCCTCTTGCAAAAATTGCCTTGTTTTTTACCTTGTCCAAAAAGGATTTAAATCCATATGTTGTTTGTTCTCTAGATTCGGGTGTTGTTGCTACTCTAATATCATCGAGTACGCTTCTTCCTGTTGAATTGTTATCATCAAATGCTCCATGAGATTGATTTAAATTCATTTCACCAAGGAAATTTATCAAATCAATTTCTCGCCTAGAACCTCTTTCTCCAGCAACATTTGAATCCTCTGGTATTCCTAAGGTTCCAATAGGTTGGGACATGTGCATGGCTTGTCTCTTTTTCATTGTTTCCTCATCACTACTTGAATTTGTAGTAGTTACACGATTTGGTGGTTTATCACTTAAATATTTCAACACTTCGTGTGAAACATCATCAGAGGCTCTCTTTTTTCTCATAATTTCTGATGAATCCTCAGATGATAGTGAAGATGATGTTGGAGTTACACATTGATCAATTGTTGTATTTGTTGTTGTTGAAGTCAATGAGGAGAGTCCTCTCTCAGCGACTGGTGTTATTGGTAAATTATTGGTCGACGAAGATGTAATCGGAGAGCTTGCTAATGTTGGTGTTGTACTATTGGAAGGTATGGTTGGAGCCATCGAGTGAAGATTGGACGAACTCTTACCACCAAATGAAAATCCAAAGAGTGTAAACTTTTTTCTTGGAGCTGAAGAGTCGTGTTTTTCGGGAGTTACTGGTGAAACAGTAGCTGATGCTGTAGTAGAGTTGGAGACAAGAGCAGAATTACCAAAGAGTCCAGATACATCGGAGGATGATCTCTTGTGGCTCATTCTTCGTTGTTGAGTGGTGGTCGTCATATTGGAGGAGGTTAAATGATTACCTGATGCTGATGATGTTAATGTTGTGGTGGTTGCAGTAGGACTATCAGAGGTGGCTGTTATTTGAACATTTGTATTTGGTGATGCATGAGAATCAATAACAAAAGGTGAATTCTTCTCCAAAGCCTGTTGAATGGTCGAACTTTCAAAACTAAAATCAATAGAACTGTGAGAAGGAGCATGATGACTTGGTCGAGGAAGGGCCTTTCTTGGTCTATTGATACTTGCACTTCTTATGAGTTGTTTCTGGGAATCTGAAGATATGGAAGAAGTAGGATCCTCTACATTATTGGTTGATCCATCTGAGCCATCTGTAGTAGTGGAAGCAGTGGTAGTAGATGATGTGGTTTCGTCTGATGTTGTGGTAGTACTTTTCGATGGATTAATATTTTGATCATTACTTGATGATGGATCCTCGGAAGAAGTATTCAATGTAGTACTAGTAGTGCTAGTATCAACTTGGCTTTCTGATAAAGATGTTGTTATTGTTGAATTATTGTTGTTATTGTCATGATTTGTAGTGGAAACATCAGAAATGTCACTTGTAGTTGTGTTTTCTGATAGTGATGGCTCCATTATTATGATTGTATTTTTAAATATTAAATAATTCCTCGTAGTATGATGATTGATGTAATAAATTAAATAGTTTTAAAATATATTTATCTAACTAATCCGATATTCTAATCGATTGTATTGTTTTTTGTTGGTGTTGCTATTGTATTAAATATCAAATGATTAACAATAATTAATACAAATAAATAAATTAATTTGATGATGGTGATAGTAATTTACAAATCTATATTTACAAAGAAGAAAAATCCACAATATTTTCCTCTCGTGTGTGTGATGAAATCCTCCTTCACTCGATGTCTCTTCAAAAAGTAGTGTTGCTGCTGAGAGGAAATTGATCGAGAGGCGATTAGAGTTTCAAGCAAGCCAAAAGATGAAGAAAAAATTTTTTGCTTTAAAAAAACGAATCGTTATGAAGATTTGTATTATCTGATTACGATGAAATGATGCAATGCAATCGGAACAATAACAACTTGTTTTTTTATCTTAGAATAATTTGTTATGACTGGTTCGAAATAGGTGGGAGATTGTTGCTAACTTGTTTTTTACTGGATACGATCGATATGGTACTAGTTTGGAATGATGGATGGTAATGAAACTCTTGGACAGACTCCTAACATTCATGTTCCTCCGAATTTAAAAAATTTAATATTATTATTTAAATTTAATAATAATTAATAATTAATTAATATTGTAATCCATGAAAGATATTATATTTAATTAATATTACGTAATAATCAATAACAACAACCAGCCTTAAAAGTAAATAGAAATGAACTAAAACTCATCCATGAACTTGTCTCAAAAGCAAAAAAATTAAAAGGCCCCATTAAGTATTAATCATGCCTTTAATTAAATCTGAACAAAATCTCCTCTTAATCATCACATTATTATTAACAAATTAAAATTCCAATGAATAATTTAAAAAAAAAAATTAACAACACAATGAAACAGCAACGCTCTCATTCTCCACCACCTCTTCAATCTTCATCTACTTCACATCATTCACAGAGTAGTGGTGGATTATTAAATAATCTTCCTCCGCATCCTCACTTGCAAAAGATGGGATCCTTCACTTCATCAACAACAAGTCATACTTCATCATCTTCACCACATACAAATCATGGTGGTTATACTAACTTGGCAGATTGTCAGAATTTATTGGAGAGATGTGATTTAAATCCATTGCATCAACTATTCATTGAAAAAGGAAGCAAAAGAACAAAATGTATCTACCAAGGTTGTCATGTTACAAATAATAGCCTCTCTGAAGGGAACTTTCCGATCAAGTTTACGATCATGGATTGAAATTATTATCAAAACACAAATTGAGGAACCTCTCACACTCGTCAAGAAGGATATTCAAGTATTTGGAACTTGTAAAAAACTAACCATTGATGATTTCACAATCTATGATGGCATTGGAGGTGTCTTGTACATGTTAATTTACTTTTTTGTAAAATCGAGTCCAAAGAGCACTGATTCGCCACTTCCTTCTGAGGATGCCATGAGTAGAAGAAGAGATTCACAATGCTCATCTACCATGTCTGATTCTAACTTTGTGGATACAGCACTTCCGAATGCAGAAGATTTATCATTCATTCCAATTGCATCGATGGAGTATCTCTCAGAGAAAATTGAAAAATGTGTACATTTAATTGAGCTCATCATGGAAAAGCAATCACTCTCACTCGATAATGGTGATATAAGTGGTGTTGGTGGTATGATGGGATTGTTTTCTCTATTATCAATTGCCTATGATATTCTAGGAAAGACTGAAAAGGCCAAAATTACACTCCATAATATTGCTATTCATTTTCCAAAGCTTTGCTTTATCAATAGGAGGGCAAACAAACCAATTTCCAATGAGTGGCTTTATGGCCGTATAGGATATTTGTACACTGTCCTATTTTTGCAGAGATACTTTAAGGATTCTAAGGTTTTACCAGACAATTATTTGGAAGTTATGCAATTTGATAAGGTTGTTGATATTATCAAACAGGATGGAGATAAGGGAAACAAGTACATGTGGGAATGGCATGAAAAGGAATATCTAGGAGCTGTTCATGGTTTTTGTGGCATTGCCAAACTCTTATTGGATCTTACAGATATCAAGAATGATGAAAGTAGTTTCAAAAAGATTAAAGAAACTGTGGATTGGTTAGTTTCAGAACAATTCAGTGATGGCAATTTCCCTTCTAGTGTTGGAAGCAAATCATCGAGACTTCTTCAATTCTGTCATGGTGTGACGGGAGTAATGCCAATTCTTTTGGACATGTACAAAATTACAAAGGATGAAAAGTATTTGGACTCTGCAAAGAAAGCTGGGGCTTGTATGTGGAAATTTGGTCTCTTGAAGAAAGGTCTAGGGTTGTGCCATGGTATATTTGGAAACCTCTATCCTTTCATCTTAATGTACCAAACTACAGGAGATGATGAATGTTTAATGAGGGCCATCAGATTTGCTCAATACGGATGTGAAAATCAATCCAAACTAGTTTCTGTGCCTGACCATCCATTCTCATTGTTTGAAGGCATATCTGGATCTTGTATCGTTCTTGATGGATTAATAGAGTTGATGTGTAATTATGAATTGGGTGTAAAGGAGGATTATTTCCATTTCCCTTGCTTTGATTATAAGATTTTCAAGCAATAAATTATTGCTAACTAATTGCTAACCTGATTTAATTTTTTAATATTTTTCATTTTCAAATTTATTTCCTTAATTTGAAATTAATTGCATTTCGTATTATATTATTCAATGGTAGGATTTTGAGTCGTGGAAGAAGATGCAGCAGCAGTAGAGGACTGTTTCTTTTTCCTTTTCTTCTTTTTCATTGGTGGAGAATTCGGTGAATTTGAATCGAATATTGAATTATTTGAAATTAAACTTGTTGCCGATTGAGGATCCTCACTATTGGAATTGAATGAAGTCGGGCCTGAATCATAGAATTTATAAACCCTTTCTTTTCTTTGTCGCTTTTGAGTTTCATGTTGCCCTGAGGTGAATTCTTGAAATTCATTTTCTGACCATTGAAAGGTTGAAGTTGATGGGTTGCTATTTGTTTGGAAGAGCTGAGATTCTAGCGAGGGAGGCAGGGTTGTTCTTTCTCGTTTTGACTTTCCAAAATTGTCTTTAGATTTCTTTGATTTTCTTTCTGTAGAAACTGTATTCGAAAGAATGGGAAACTGGTTGCTGCTGCTGGGCGAAATGTGGTGATATGTTAATGGAGAGGAAATTGAATTGTTCGACTGTTGTTGTGGGTCGTACTGCACAATGGTAAACATTTTTTGCTGCTGTTGTTGTGAAGTATTCGAAACGTTTCGTATTATTGGAGGCTGACAAACAGTTGCACTACTCAAACTATTAGAAACAATCCTTACAGTAGGTGAAAAACAATCCAATCCAACTTCCTTCCTCTTGCTCTCATGAAAATTTTCCAATCCGCCAATTTTTTGATGTTGCATCTTACTATCCGAATCCTCTGAGATTTTACTGTCATCATTAATGTATTCGAATGGTTCATCATTTCTTCTACTGCCAATACTGCCTCCACATGCAAGCAAACTATTTTCAACAAATTGTTCTTGTGGTGATAATTGGTTCATGCTACCATTTTTGGAATTGTGTGAAGAGGATGCAACAATTTCAAGTTGTTTTTGATGTATTTGCTGTTGTTTATCTTGTTGGTGAAGATCTGTCAAGAGTGATTCAATATCAAGCTTTAGAAATGTTTCATGATTGTTGGCAGATGACAGAACCTCGGACGTTGAATTATTACTACTGTTACTAACAACATAATTAGATGATATTCCAAGTGATGATGATACTAAAGAAGATTCGACACTGTCATTGTTACCAAACATCATGTGCCAAATGTCAAAACGTAATCAATGTGTGAAATTGTTTTTGTTTGTGAAAATAAAAAAGCTTGGGCCCTTCGAGTGCAAACAGATTTTCATCAGAGACCAATATTTAGTCAATCATCGATTATTTTGGAATCTATGAAGTGGTCTATTGCCATAATTGGAAATGCATGAAAATTAATTAGTTGAAAAATTTGGAAGCTTCAAGCCAATTGTTCAAGCTTTTCAACCAATTTGCATTATGACATATTAAATATTGTTGTAACAAGTATTGAAATGCTTTGTAAATAGTTTTGGCGCACTTTTGTGAATTTCACACAAAGAGAAAAAGAGATAATTTTCTATTGTTGGATGAGTTGATTATCCTGATTGATGATATAAGGACCCCTGGGTAAAATTATGTTGGCATTCATTGGTTGTGTCATCACTGACAGTTGGCTGTTGACATTTTTCATAAACAAAATGTAATGATTATGTTGTTGGATGTTGATGATGAAAAGCTGTTGATAATTATGATATTGGACATGGTAAATTACTGGTGACATTATTATTAACTTTTTTACTAGTGCTGTCAAAAGTCTTTAGTATTTTGGCATACAAGAAGATATTTAGAACTCGTTTGATTTTGCTTCCGTTCAGGCTTTAGTAAGCTTCAACAGAACAGTTCATCATCAAAATATTTTTAATATTTTCATCAAATGTCTTGAAGATATTTTCATAATAATTCGAATTTTTCCTTCCATTAGTTTGAACCCATTTCAATGTTGAAAGTCTTGGTTGAATGCAGCACTTATTTCAAGTCTTGGTGCTGATGGTACCACTCTAACCAATATCAGATAATATTAGTCATTGCATTGAGAATTAAGCCGATGAAATTCCACAGCTGGCAAAAACTATTCCTTTCCCGAGCTTCTCCCAAAAATTCATCCAGACGTGAGCAAAACAACTCCGCATACTTGTCTCGTATATTTTGTGTGGGATTGTTGGAAGAGAAGACTCTTATTCTCCCTTAGATTTAAAAAAGAAAGTACTACAACCGTAACTCACTGTAAAGATAATGTTGCGCCATTTACCGTTATCTCTCTCCTATCTCTCCTCTCAGTGTGAAATATCGTACACATGCTAAATAATATCACACACACAACAAACAAAATAATGCCAAGACGACCAATTGTGCCAAATAAGCAAGCAATCCTTAGTGCATGTTTGCTGGTAGTTTGTTCGCTGCTGCTGATATTTACTTGTGTGCATGTTACCTTTGTTGTAGGGTCTTCATCAAGTAGTGGTGGTAATGGAACGTTGAGAGAATGGTTGGGTGACTTGAATGAGCAAGCTGCTAGATTACAATCCACAGCTTTAAAATTACAAGTTGCCATTGCAGTTTTAAGTAATTCTAACAATACGGAATCAATCTTAACGATAAGAAGTGCTCAATTGAAGAAAATTACTCAAGCTCTTAATCTTATCAATCAAGAAATTGTAATTGTTAATAGTGCTTGTAGTAATTATGATGGACCTGATTGTAACATTCCTATCTGTGATTCAAAATGTTTGAATTGCTCATCACCAGGAAAATGTGTTTCTTGTTCAGGTAATTGGACTGGACCTTCATGTTCAATTCCAGTGTGTGATTCCAAATGTTTGAACTGTACATCACCTGGAAACTGTTCAGTATGCTCTGGAAATTGGAATGGTACAACTTGTTCTACTTGTAAAAGTGGATGGACTGGAACAAATTGCGTAAACCAAACAGCAATATTAACCTCTGCTCAAATGACAAGATTTTCCAATGAAATATTGAACATGCCAAACTCTTTTACCAAATTGCTTTTCAAGGCATCCAGAGATGGCTTTGCAGGAGATAAATTCCACTCGAAATGTGATAATAAGGGTGCAACTGTTGTAATTGTCAAGGCACAGTCGGGAGCAATATTTGGAGGTTATACCAGTGTTTCATGGAATGTTCAAAATTCTGGCTATGTATCAGACAAGTCAGCATTTCTATTTAGTTTAGTTTCTTCTACTGGAGTGGAAAGATTTGCCAAATTACCTCAACAATATTCAGATTTCTATAAGAGTGGGAAAACAAATGGTGAATATGCAACATATCAAGTATCAGGTCTGGGACCAACATTTGGAGGAGGACATGACTTATTTATTTCAAATAATTGCAACTCTAACTCTCTTAGTACTTCAAATCTTTGTGCTTCCTATTGTGATGCAACAATGTCAGTTAGTTCCACAACAGCAAATGCATACCTGGCAGGCACAAAAAATTTCCAGGTTGAAGATTATGAAGTGTATAATTTGTAAATAATGAGAAACTATAGTTTGTTAATTATTTCATCTCACTGATGTTAACATTGCAAATATGCATTTAGCTTATCTACTATTCGCATTACCAGGGAGGTTGGAAGTAATTTTACGGGACATAAATTTAGATTGTTTAACATTGAATTTTTTTTGAACGTTACAACACCAATTTGTTAATCATTATTTCATGAACCGAACTTTTATTTCTCACATAATTCTGTAAACTGTATTGCACTCGATGACACTTGGGCTATTTCTCAAAGTGGTCAAGTTTTTTTACGATGTACAAAAAATTAGTATGACTTGTTGTGTAATAGGACAAGTGATATATTTGAATTAAAATTTTAAAAAAAAATGAAAAGAAAGTATGAGCAAGATGATCACACCACATCCCTCAATGGTGGTGGAGAAGAATGCGAACCAACAATAAAACAAGCAAAGGCAAATACTTCACCTAACATTAATCCACATGATCAAAACAAATCCATAATTTCGGATATTAAATTCGAACACGACACTAAACCTCATCTCCGATACTTTCTTAAATTACTCGAAGATTTTGATGATGATCATGATAATGCTAAATTCAGCCAGGGAATAACCAATTCTGTACTGGGATATTTCAACAAATTTCTGAATGGATTGCCAGAAATTATTGGATCGAATAATGAACAAGTTGATGATGGAGTAAAAACATGGCATGCTGAGAAAATAGGAGCTGGGGGATTTGGAACTGTTTTAAAAGTGATTAAAAGGAATTCTAATGGTCAAAATGTAAAAGCCATCAAAGTGATACCAATCATTTCAACAATGGGACCAAATGAAGCAGTCAGTGGAGCCAAATTGGATCATCCAAATGTTGTGAAGGTTTACAATTCAATCTTGATTAGACAGACATGTTGTATTGAAATGGAATTTATTGAAATGGGAAGTTTACAAGATTTAATCAAGAAGAAAATCAAACTTCCATCAATTGCAATTTTCAAAATGATGTTCCAATGTTGTGAAGTATTACTATTTATGAAACAAAGAGGTATGGTTCATTCAGATATCAAGCCTGCAAATATTCTTGTGAAGAAACTTGATTTGAATTCGAATGAAGTCGAGGTTGCCATTGGAGATTTTGGACTCACCTTATTGAATGACACTGTTGCCTCCCAAATGCGAGGTGGAACAACAAGCTATGCTCCTCCAGAGGTATTAGAAGTCAATGAAAAAGGCAAACGAATTTTCAAAGCCAATTTCAAACCAACATTTAACACTGACTTGTTTTCATTAGGTAAAACTTTCAGAGCTTTATTCAATAATCACGATAGTGATCAGTTTACAACAGATATTCTTGAAATGATAGAACAATTAATTTCAAGTGATATTCAACAAAGAGCAATTGGATTTTATAATATTGGCTTTAATGGAATAATATATTTCAATAATAAGTCTTTGATTTGGAAAAATGAAAAGGAGTTGTCAGCTTTCTCTAGTTTGGAATACCTTATGAAAGATTTAACAACACTCCCTCATAAGAATAGAGATTTCATTTTACAAAATAATATTTTGCAGAGTGCACACAAGTCATTGAAACAAGACCGAAATTTCTTGGTTGAAATAGTGGTCAAAGATGTTAGAAATTTACTAACAATTGATGAATCAGTGAGAACAGATAAATCATTTGCCATTCATGTACTGGAAAGAAATGAAACTGCCTTTAATTACTTCGATGAATCATTAATGAGAGATAGAGAGTTTATTAATGATATTGTTGGACGAAATGGGTTGTTATTGAAATATACCACTTTCTTAAATGACAGGGAAATAGTTTTAACTGCATTCAAAAACAATAGAGAGGCACTTCAATATGCCAACGAATCATTGAGAAAAGATAGGGAATTTGTAATGAGTGCAATTCAACATGATGGAATAGTATTCACGTACGCAGATGAATCATTTAGGAAAGATAGAGAATTTGTTTTGGCAGCAGTACAACACAAAGGATTACTACTTGATTCTATTGATATCTCTTTCAGGAAAGATAGAGAAATTGTATTGAAATCAGTGAAACAAAACGGGTTAGCTCTAGAATACGTAGACAAATCACTTACTAAAGATATAGAAATTGTCACAGAAGCTGTTAAACAAAATAGATTTGCAATCAAATATGCAGATGAATCATTGAGAAAAGATAAGGAAATCGTGTTGAATGCTGTTGCACAAAATGAACATGTTTTACAGATTGTTGATGGTTCATTTGTCAAAAAAAGAGAGATTGTACTGAAAGCAGTTAAACAAAATGGGCTAACATTAGAATCTGCAGACAAGGAATTAAGAAAAGATAGAGAAATTGTATTGGAATCAATTCAACAAAATGGTTTAGCATTAAAGTATGCAGATGAAATGCTGAGACGAGACAAAGAAATTGTAATGAGAGCCATTCAACAAAATAGATTGGCAATTAATTTTGTGAGTGAATCATTGAGAAAGGATAGAGAATTTGCCTCTGAAACTGTTCAACGGGACGGTTTATTACTCGAATGTATGCATAAGTCAATTAAGAACGAAAAGGAAATTGTAATGAAGGCAGTTCAACAAAATGGTTTGGCTCTCAAATATGCCAATGAAAAAATGAAGAAAGATAGAGAAATTGTTACAACAGCAGTTCAACAAAATGGTTTAGCTTTGGAATATGCAGATAGGTCATTACGGAAAGATAGTGCTATAGCAATAATGGCAGTGAGCCAAAATGGATTGGCACTAGAGTACACTGATAAATCATTAACTAAAGATAGGCGAGTTGTAATGGAAGCTGTTCAACAAAATGGATTGGCTCTTGGCTTTGCTGCGAATTCATTTAAGCAAGATCAAGAAATCGTAACGAAAGCAATTCAACAAACCCCAAATGCCCGTTTCTTTTCTTTGATTAAAAATTAAGGTTTGTGCTGTTTTGATTTGTTCTTAAGTTGCTCATTCTTTATCTGATTTTTAGCCAAGTTAGCTATCTATAATGTCCACCTCAAATCAGGGTATTACGGAAATGTTTATTGTTTCTTTTTCAAATCATCAAAATAATAATCCTCCAAAATATCTTGAGCTTGTGGTCTAATCAAGTTATCTTTGGTTAACATTAATACTACCAATTCTACAAGTTTTGAAGAATATTGACCACTTTCTTGTAACTTTTTATACAATAATTTGGTTACATCTGTTTGGTCTTTACCTAGGTATAATTGACTTATGGATGTAAAGGTATCTTTTGTCATGATTTGATAGATTGTAACTCCTAAACTATAAATATCAGTGTTGTAATAGTACTTTCCACCCAAACCAAGCTCAGGGGACTTTTCAAATGAATAAAATGTTAAATGTACAAAAAACTTACCATAAATATAGGAGTACCAGCATAGGAATTATTTGTCGATCCAATATTAGATTTAGCTAACCCAAAATCTGCCACAATTATGTGGATATTATCTTTTTCCAAGCTTTTCACAAAAACATTGGATGGTTTGATATCTCTATGAATTATTTTCATAGTACAGTGAATATAATCAAGAGCTTGACACATTTGATAAATTATTTGTTTGATCAATTTTTCAGAACAATCAAAATCAATATTTGTTAACTTAACTAAATCTCCCAGCTCATAAAAGTCCATATCAATACAAAGTAATTGGTCCTTACTAACAAAGAATTCATTCACCCGTAAAATATAGGGATGATTGACATTCATTAATTGAGTTCCTTCTTTCATAAAATTATTCAATTCTTCCATGGAAGAATATTTAATGACTTTGATAGCTTTCACCGAATTTGTTTTACTATCAAAGGCCTTAAAGACTGATCCGAAAGCTCCTTGACCAATTCTTATCAAGTTGGAATATCTAGAGAGAGGATTGAAAGCTTCGCTAGTAGTTCCATTTGAAGAAATGCTCATGAGAGGTTGGATAAACATACTTCCTTCTGTCGGGAAATCAGTACTCGAAAAACCTTCAAGTTCAATATTATTAGCATTAGTTTTCGCAAGTTCATTTGCTTTCTTTTGCTTGCTTCTAAATAAAAGTATAATAAAGACAATTAGAATAATACTGAAAGCAAATATCAAAAAAGTAATAGGCAACACTGTAGATAAGATGATAATTAATATAGAATCATTACTAGAAACGGATCTTGTAGATGATAAACCAGATGTTTGCACAATTGGAGAGTTATAATTAATTTCTTGGATGGAAAACACTGATAAATGATTAGATCTACATTCCATATCAAAGTAAATATAGTCATCTGTTCTTTTGTTAATTGTTGTTAAGGTCTCAAGTCCACTAGTTGACCATATCTTTAAGGTAGTATCATAAAAAACACAAGTAGTGTTAATACCAGTTTTGTTGTTTGTAATTAAGCCTTGAAATTTGAATATTATTGGTGGATTAATATTTTTCACTGTGATTGTATTGTATGATGTATCTAACAGAGATAGATCTACAATTGGTTTGTTTTGCAGGAGTGTTGTTTCCTGTCTAGTTGGAGAATTAAATGATCTAATAGAATAGAATAGTTTAGATTTGGAAGTTAGAGAAATTTGACTAGAAAAGTCACTAGGCAATTTGATATCAACTTTAAAGTTGGAAACTGTGAGTGAAATTGATTTCTCATTCAATAAAGATGAATATTCTAAATCTTCGACAAAACTTGAATTGTCGCCATTATTCCCTGTTAACTTGAAATATTCTAAAGCAAATTTATGGATCTTATATTGTTCATCTAAATTATTTTGATGGATATTTGCAAGAATATTTTGCAATGATTTAATTTCTTCTAAATGATAATTATCAAGTAAATCATTATAAATGAAAGTTGGATAATAATTAAGTGCTTTCTTCATTCCTGAATAAATTAATTCCAAAAAAGCTTCTAATTCAATACTAAATGTTGATAATGATGAAGTATCACTAATTGTTGTTTTTAAAATGTTAGAAATCTTGTAAATTATTGGTAAAGTTAATTGAATAACTCTTTCATCAACTTTGTAAGTAATATCCCATAAACTCTTTGTTATTTTCAACATATCACCAAGCATTGAATTAAATGAACTTATTTTCATTGGATTAAATTCTTTCAAAATGCTGTCTGATAATGTTGAAAGAGTTTCATTTTGAATTAAGAGGGTGAGTAAACTATTCATTTCACTGGAAATTTCCATCTTGAGTGGTTTAGAATTTTTAAGAATTTGGAATTGATCTGAAATATAATTAAATCTTGATAGGATAGAATTGTCATTTAACAAATAACTAGGTAATTCAATCTTAATATTTTTTCTAAAAATTCCAATAGAACCATATAAGTTTTGAAGTTTTACGACAAGAGCAATTCTACCATCTTTAGAATATGGGTACGGTAGCTTTGTTATCAAAGATTTCTTTGGTGTATTGGATATTACACCTAATCTTTCGTTGTTTGAATGAAATTCCATTACAAAACTTGAAATACTTTCATATGGTAATTTCAAGCAGTTAATACCTATCAAAGTTTCAAAACTTGTAAAATTAACATCATGTTTCAAATTTTCTACATCACAGGATAATCTTGGACTATAATCAATTCTAGTTGAAATGGATATAGTGGTAATTCCGTTTGAATTGGTAGTTGACAATTCAAATTCGTATACCTCTCCTTCAATTAAATGTTTGTTATCAATTTTTAAAATTATTTCAATATCATTTTCCATTATAGTTCTGTAAATTGTATTATCTTGAAGAAATTCTTCAATATTATTATCAATATTATTTAAATATCCTTGTTTGAGTTTCCATATAAATGAAACCATTGTTGAAGATTTCACTACATTTCTCATATAAATATTCTTATGGGAAGGTGTAATTGCTGGTATATAATCTGTAGTTATTTTTGGAGAGAGCTTTGAAATATCTAAGAACTCAATATAACCTTCATAATGATAAACTGTTGTTATAAAATACTTATTGGAGGATATTAAAGCAGTAATATAATAAGAACCTTCTTTTGAAGACATTATTTGCTTAATATCTATTTGTTCAAGATAAGATTTAGTAGAAGAGCACAAGTTATCACTTAAATGTTGAGATTTGTTGAAAGGTGAAACTTTGAAACATTGCCAAGAAAACTCCATATAATCACTTAAAGTATATTTGGAAATATAAGGATCATCAATCATTAGCTCAATACGTATTGTTTCATCAGAGTTGATAGAATAGGTTCTATTAACACCTGTCATTACGAAATCCAAATTTTTAAATGTAGAATATTTAAAAGAGTCAATAGTAAAAGGTAAGAAAACATATGTTTTCAATTGAACTCCAAAAACTTGCATATTAGAATTAAATTCACTGTCTAAAACTCCTCCTGAATATTCATTAATCATTCTAACCATTTGTTTGGAATATAAATCAGTATTCAATAAACTGAAAAAGCCAGAAAATGAATATGAAATTGAAGAATTTAAACTATTCAATGAAGTTTCTAAAATACAATTATGACCAATACAGGAATATGCCTTTCCGTCAAAATTATCACTTAACCAGTAATAACTAGGGGGTAATGATTTTGTATAGGTTTGTATCTTCACTTCCTTACTTATTGATTTTTCACTAGTCACTCCAGATGAATAAAGAGCTTGTAAATTAATAATCTTATATCCTTGAATAGGGTTTAAACTGTTTGTATATGAAATTGGAATATGAATAAATGTTCTATTGGAATATTTGTTTAACAATGATGAAATAACGCCACTACATTGACTACATATCCATCTACTTGTCATTTTCGTGAATCCATGTAAAGTATCATCACAATTCAAACGTATTACTAAATCTAACATTGGTGATGCTTCTGTTAATGAGTATCCAAATGTACAACTGGAAGAAGAAACATCATTATTGGTTAAACTGTTCACAATCATTGAAAAATTAAATTTGGTTTGAATAACCGAGTAATGTTGAATTGTGTAATCAAAACCAAGATAAATTTGCATTGATTTCTTTCTCCATTGACATAAAATAGAATTTTCGCCAAATTTCATTAGTTCAGATTCTTCAAAAATATCATTACATGAAAATATTTCACTGCCATTTGGCAACATTTTCATTAGACTATCATGGAAAGAAAATATCATTGCAGATGATGTGTTCAAATAAATTTCATGATATTGACATTCATTTCCAACAAAACCACTTTCACATGTACAATTATTTGGTGATATACATTTACCATTTCCAGAGCAAACCATTCTATCACTTTCAATCCTGTCATAACAAACAATATGTTCACATTCTCTACCAATATAACCATTATTACAAGTACACCTGTCATAATCACTACAATTTCCTCTAGCACCACATACAGAACTAGAATTTGATGTTATATTAAAACAATTAGTAACTGAACAATCTTCTCCAAACCACTTTTCTGAGCAAGAACAATTGTTATAGTTGAGACATGTACCATGTCCTCCGCATACTTTTGGTTCGTTGGCTGTCACTGAAAAACATTTAAAATATTCACATCTTGCTCCTCCAAACTTATATGGACAAACACAATTTCCAGGGCCAGAACAAGTTCCATTATTTTGACAAAGACTTTGACCAGTGAATTTCTCTCCGGCACAATTAAATGACTCACATTTAGAATCAAAGTAACCATCTCTACATGTACAATTATTGAATGAAGTACAACTTCCATGCCCTGAACATACATTAGAACTGTTTTTGGACAATCCATAACAATCATACATTTCACAATTAGATCCATAATATCCAGAATCACATGTACAATTGTTAGGAGAGAAACATTTTCCTCTGCTAGAACAAACTGTAGAATTAGTGAAAAGAATATCGAAACATTCAAAATTCTCGCAATTATTTCCATAATAACCAGTAACGCAAGAGCAATTATTTAGAGATGTACACGTGCCATGAGAAGAACATACGGTAGTGTTTTTAGAACTAACACCATAACAAGTAAAGTCTTGGCAATACGACCCTGAATATCCTGGATTACACGAGCAATTATTCAATCCAATACAAGTTCCTACTGACGAACATACTGTAGAAGAGTTGAACGGAATAGAGTGGCAATAAAAGTATTGGCAATTTTCCCCATAATAACCGGATGAACAAGAGCACTCATTGGGAGAAGTACAAATACCTTGGGATGAACAAACACCAGAGTGATTTCTCAACAACTCATAGCAATAAAATTCATCACATTTGTAACCAAAGTAATCAGCTGTGCAATTGCATTGATTATAGCCAATACATGAACCTTTTCCAGAGCATACAACAGCTGGAATTTTGTTTGTAGTTCCAAAACATGGATACTCACAAGATCCATCTAAAAGAATGGCATTTCCAGTGCACCAAGGACTAAGTTTTCTGATTCTGTTATTGTTTGTATCAGTAATATAAATTTCATCACTTGAACTGATGGCAACTCCATAAGGATTATATAATTGAGCACTTATTGCAGATGAACCATCACCACTATAGCCGGATGTTCCAGTTCCAGCAATTGTTGAAATAATGCCAGATGTTGTGATTTTACGAATTCTGTTATTATTGTAATCAGCAACATAAATTTCATCACTTGAACTGATGGCAACTCCATAAGGATTATATAATTGAGCACTTGTTGCAGATGAACCATCACCACTATAGCCGTGATGTTCCAGTTCCAGCAATTGTTGAAATAATGCCAGATGTTGTGATTTTACGAATTCTGTTATTGTTTGTATCAGCAATATAAATTTCACCTCTTGAACTGATGGCAACTCCATAAGGAGAATTTAATTGAGCACTTGTTGCAGATGAACCATCACCACTATATCCTTGTGTTCCAGTTCCAGCAATTGTTAAAATGATACCAGATGTTGTGATTTTACGAATTCTATGATTGTTTGTATCAGCAATATAAATTTCACCACTTGAGGAAAATTCGAACGTAATGGCATTAATGTAAGCTGTAGTTGCTGATAGTCCATCGCCTATACCGCCAGCAATTGTTGAAATAATACCAGATGTTGTGATTTTACGAATTCTATTATTGAACATATCCATATCAGCAATATAAATTTCATCACTTGAACTGATGGCAACTCCATAAGGAAAATATAATTTAGCACTTGTTGCAGATGAACCATCACCATTATATCCTGCTGTTCCAGTTCCAGCAATTGTTGAAATAATACCAGATGTTGTGATTTTACGAATTCTATGATTGTTTGTATCAGCAATATAAATTTCATCACTTGAACTGATGGCAACTCCATAAGGATTATATAATTGAGGGTTTGGGTTGGGTTTGGGTGGGTTGGGTTTGGGTTTGGGTTTGGGTTTGGGTTTGGGTTTGGGTTTGGGTTTGGGTTTGGGTTTGGGTTTGGGTTTGGGTTTGGGTTTGGGTTTGGGTTTGGGTTTGGGTTTGGGTTTGGGTTTGGGTTTGGGTTGGGTTTGGGTTTGGGTTTGGGTTTGGGTTTGGGTTTGGGTTTGGGTTTGGGTTTGGGTTTGGGTTTGGGTTTGGGTTTGGGTTGGGTTTGGGTTTGGGTTTGGGTTTGGGTTTGGGTTTGGGTTTGGGTTTGGGTTTGGGTTTGGGTTTGGGTTTGGGTTTGGGTTTGGGTTTGGGTTTGGGTTTGGGTTTGGGTTTGGGTTTGGGTTTGGGTTTGGGTTTGGGTTTGGGTTTGGGTTTGGGTTTGGGTTTGGGTTTGGCTTTGGGTTTGGGTTTGGGTTTGGGTTTGCCCTTGGGTTTGGGTTTGGGTTTGGGTT